TTATATTTGCTGTATACCTTAAAAACATTCTAACAAAAATTATTTACTTTTTTGTCCAACTATACAGAAAAACTGCCAAAAAGTAAAAAATTCATAAAAAAAATTATGCTTTTGTACAAAAATCTCAAAATATTCCCAGGTTACCTTTGTGATGTGAGACTTCCGCTTATAGTTTTATAAGGATCATAAATGTTAAACTTTTCTTAAAATAAAATAATATTTGCATTAGTCGTTGTCGGTAAAAATAAGTCCTAATAATAAACACAAGGGGGTGTTCAAATCAAGACGACATTTTATGTGTTTCATAAATCACCAACGAGTGAACTTTGTGCCAAATTTCAATAAGATTGTCATAACAGAATTTGCGCTACAACTGCTAGCCTAAATGTATTTTTGTAAATATAAAGTGCAAACCGCTTCGTGGAGCTGCGATTTTCGTGACATAAACTCAAGGCTACCCAGTTAACACATCCTAAAAAATTTTGCCTCTTACATATAAATTATGATTTTTAGGAAATTTTTCAAATTTGAAATTTTAAATTATTATAAACCACGCCCACTTTGATCGATCATTACGACAACCGCTAAGTTTCGCACAGACCCATTTAGCCGGTTCAACAGTATAATTTCTTCCTATTTATAGCGCCCCTATTGTTGAATCAAGCTGAAAATCAAGATATGCACTTGAATTGACCTTAGGTATGATGGTTATGAACCGCTTTGAAAAATGTCAAAATCTTTTAAAGTTATGTTAAAAAAACGTTTTCATTAAAAAAAAAATTTTTTTTTAAGTCATATTTCAAAAAGTAAGAGAATTATCCAAAATCCGTTCACATCATTTGGTCATCCGCTCCTCTCTTGTCAGGCAAAGTGTTGATTTGATTGTGTTTGACGGCTGGGAGGATTTAACGAAAGTACGTTTTACTAACTATGCAAATTTCTACTAATTTGCATAAGTTTAAAATATTTTTTAAAATACTCATCTAAATTTGACTGACTGTATGAACATACTAGATGAGATCTTTTTTTTTTTTTTTTACTAAAGAAATGGGGAGAAACATGCCAAAAAACATTTTTTGGGTACAACAGCGCCACCTATTGGAAAAAAATTCTATGTTTTCTGTGATTGTAGATGTCACTGTGACTGATATGAATTGTAACTTTCTGTGTAGAATATTCATTTTTCATGAGTTAAAGGGCGAAAATGTTTAAAGCCTATAAGCCACACCCACTTTTTAATCATTTTCGAAATATAGCTTAAGGGTCCGATGATAAACATATCTGCCAAGTTCTGTGGAAATCCATCAAGCCATTTCGCTGAAACAAACAGTTTGACTCTTTAGCGCCCCCTATTGGTGAATCCAAATAAAATTTGATAGATGGGGCTTACCGCTCATACTTTGTAAGGGTCTAGAGTCTCATCATTTTATCTTGAAAAGTGGTGGAGATATCATCAATTAGGACATGTGCTAGCTAGCTTGCTGAATTTGACATGGTGTCTTTAGCGCAGTTTTCAATAATTCTGCATTTTTCTTCATCACAACGACTTAGCTTAGTCTATAGATCTTATGTACAAAGTTTGAAGTTGATTCGACGAAAAGTGATGAATAGGTGATTAAAACTAAGTTATGCGTGTTTTGCGAGCTAGCAAAAAATCTAGTTGGGGGAAATGGGCGTGGCCAATACAAAAGACATGCAGAATCATCCAAGGATCATGTTCATATAAAGTTTTTGACTGTAGGACCTACGGTTTGGGAGCTAGTAGCTGAAACGCATTTACCTCCGCAATAGCGCCACCTAGGTGACTCCAGGTCCAAAATTTCGAATCTGAGTAGCAGTCAGGATTTTCTATCACACTGCCATGTCAGATTTTTACTGGCATTTACAGGCTCCTCTGCCCATATAGTAGGGTTCCACCTGCTAAACAAACCCTAAATAAGCTCCTCCTCTATCCGCTCCACGCTCACAGCTGCTGGTGAGCTTTCAACTAAAGTAGGTGCTGCTTGATGACATCATCAACATGCTTAATTGCAGTAGAATGATGTAGTCAAAATCTTTAACGCTGGCTAAATTTCTGTCATTTCCACCAAATACCATCACATCATCGGCCATTTCTGAAGTGTGTGTGTGTGTGTGTGTGTGTGTGTGTGTGTGTGTGTGTGTGTGTGTGTGTGTGTGTGTGTGTGTGTGTGTGTGTGTGTGTGTGTGTGTGTGTGTGTGTGTGTGTGTGTGTGTGTGTGTGTGTGTGTTCAGGTCGATCAGGAGCAGTTCAACAAAATTCTGGGCTACATCAGCGTTGGTAAGAGAGAAGGTGCCAAGCTGATGTGTGGAGGAGGAGTAGCAGCAGACAGAGGATACTTCATCCAGCCCACGGTGTTTGGAGATGTCCAAGACAACATGACCATTGCCAGGGAAGAGGTAAGGACAGGTACACGTGTAAATGAATCAATAAATCAGTTAATCCAATCACTAATTACAATTTGCTCCATGAATGTTTGTTACTGACATTAGCTACATTTAAGTATTTTTCTGTTTTCCTTTTGACTGAATCGTTGCTGTAGCATGTTGGCGTAGATTCTCAGTCATGATCGATGTGAGACTTAATCAGTTGTCGTTATCTCCTGTTTATGGCACAAAACACACACAAAACTTGGCCTGACCTCAAAGATTGTCGCAGGAGGGGTGAAAATCTGCTCAAAATGGGCCAAGAATTGCACCGTGTATGCCGAGCTTTAGCGCTGCTAGCTGGATGCTTTAAAATGTCTTCTTCTCCATCTCTGCAGAACTCTTCCTTCTTCATAGGATTTCAGGTCTTTCTAGGTGGATCTTAGTCCTGCTTAGCTCCAACCGTTGTTAACGAGCATAAAGTTGTGTTCTGTTTTAATTGTACTTTTGAATTACCTTCCAAAATTTGCATACTTTACCTGTAACACTCTTCATGTAAGGCTGATTTCTACTTCTCCGTCAGCTCAAGTATAGTGGGCGCATACGCATTCACAGAGACATTTTCCCTTTGGACTTCTCTGTGAGCTGGGGAGTGTTGCAAAGCAATCCCATGCCTGGACAGCAGAGGGCGTAGCGTTATTTTTGGGGTATCCTGCCACCATTATTCACATATTCTGTCCATTATAGTGTATTTGCTATTGTGTTTATGTAGTGCTTGTCTTTCAGAGAGGTTTTAACATGGACAAAATTGACCCTCATTGTCCTTCACCTCTTCATGCAGCTGACACCTCTAAACCAACATTTCCATCCACAAATAAACACTTACTGCGTTACGTGTGAATAAATGTTTACATTTTCTGACTTTTTGCACGAGGCATTCTTTAATCTGTTCTGTCTACCGCTAAATACATATTTTTTTTTGTTGAGAGGCAACGGTAGTGCTGCTGACGAATTAAAAGGTATTGGCGTCCTGACCAATCACAAGCTTTCGGTGTCTGTCACTTTCGACTGATCGTTAAAAATTTGGGTAAGTCTCCGAGTTTGATGCACTCTGAAAGTGTGCCACATCAAAAGTGGAATCCTGTGTTTAGCGGCTCTGTGACGCACCTTTAAATGTTCCGCGGCAGGTCCTGGTGGGAATCGAACCCTAGAGTATAACCCCAATTCCATTTTTGGTTCTTTTTCAAACCTTTGTTTTTAAAAGAACCAAAAATGGAATTAGAAACTAAACACAGTAAGAACACACCAAAGACATCTAGAGTATAACCACTTCTATCTGCTGTAACGAGCCAGAAACACACCTGGTGTAAATTTGGGGTTAGCTGTGATGTTTTGTTTTTCAGATCTTTGGTCCAGTGATGCAGATCCTGAAGTTTAAAACACTGGAGGAAGTAATAACAAGAGCTAATGACACAAAATACGGTTTGGCAGCGGCTGTTTTTACCAAGGACATCGACAAAGCCAACTATTTGTCCAATGGGCTCCGTGCAGGAACAGTCTGGTGAGTCTTTTCTGTGCACATCTCCATTTTCTCCAGATCTTTAGTGGTGTATGATTGAGAAAAGCCCTCCATAGGCTGGTCCAGTCTACTGATGTGTGGTGTTGTCTTTGTGTGATGAATTAAAGTAGGAAACGTGATCAGAGACTGGTCCCAGTCTCCATCCAATCAAATGGTGAATCCCTACATATTATACATTTATGACGGCGGTGCTGTCCATTTTCTGAGCAGTATTTTAACCTGGTAACAGATGTGGCCACTGTTCCAGTGTGTGATTGGCCTGACTGATAACAGCAGCTCCATTTACTTTTACTGGCAATACATTTTATATTTTTGTCAAACTGTAAAAAAAACTAGAGATCTTAAAAGTGTGCATCTGTTCTCCATCCGTCTCTCTGTCTGCAGGATAAACTGCTATGATGTGTTTGGGGCTCAGGCTCCTTTTGGGGGCTACAAGGCTTCAGGTAACGGCAGAGAACTGGGAGAGTACGGCCTGGAAAGCTACACTGAAGTTAAAACGGTAACTACGCCACATGGACCATCTGAGTGTGAAATCTGAACTAAGTTGATGAGGTGGTGTTGAAAGTAGATCTGGAGTATTTAGAACAGGTTTTATTTTAGTTTAGTAAAAACTCAGATTGGTGGATGACACATTGTGATATGGACATTTGTCCTGGAGGCTCAGAGAGAACAGGGTTACTAGGACTTGAAATGCCCTCAGCCACCTCAGATTCATGGAGGCATTTCAATATTTGAAAAACTGTCAGACTCACTTGTTTGGTTTTCAGGTGACCATCAAGGTGCCACAGAAGAACTCGTAGACGTGATCGGAGCTGTGATCAACTCTGAATCATCATGCTGCTTCCTGATGAGTGAAAATCCGTCCACATACTTAAGCATTAGAGTCCTTGACGACTACAGGATGTGGGAATTGCCTTTATTATCAAAAACATGCCAGACAAATACTGCAGCTTAAACCTAAAATGTGTATCTGCAGCCTGTGGGCTTTTTCTGTTCTGAAATGTTTTATAATAAATGCATTGAGGCTCTGTTCTGATCTTTGACTTCACCTCAGTCTGGCTTTGAAAACCCAGTTCCTCCATGAACATGGACGGTCAGAGACAAGTGCTCTGTTACAAGAAGCAGCAGCTTGAGCTTGATTCATGTTGTGCACGTGTCAGACACAAGATCTGGCCTGCGGAGCATTTTTATGTGGCCCGCGAGATAAATATCAAATATATAAAACTGACCCGCTGGCAGGTTTTTCTGCAAAGACTACAATTCCCATGATGCTTTGCGGCATTAGCCGATGTGCCCCCTCCTTTGTGTTTTTTTTCCAGGGTCTGCTGCCGGTGTCTGCAGCTCCGCCGTCTCCTGAGAAAAGATTTAACCTACAGTAAGGGGAACTGGAAAGGCTGCAGATGGATGAACAGAATAGAAAATCCCTTTATTGTTCCTAAGTGGGGAAAGCTAGATGTCACAGCAGCGATGACACTTATTAAAGGGGAAAAAAAGGAGAATAAAAAATAAGAAAAATGAATAAACAAGAAAACACAAATCCTGAATACATTTTAAAACTGCTGAATGTACCACAAGTAATGAATACCACTGATGTGTTTTATTTAAAATTGACTTGCTCGTGTAATTTGGTTATTCCACATTGTGCTAATGCAAAAATAAGTTTGTTTCCTAATTAAAAGGTTAAAAATTGCATATATGTTGATAAAGAAAATGTGCAAATTTGCCATCACTTTTTCAAAAAATATTAAGTGTGGCCCACGACTTCGTCCCAGATTTTCATTTCGGCCCAGTGTGAATTAGTTTGACACCCCTGATGTAGTGTCACGCTGTATAGCGTAACGACTGCTAATTAATTATGACCAATAAGATGTGATGATTCCATTTAAATATGAAATATCAATCTGATTGATCTTTGAATGTTTAATCAGAAGAGTTTAGGATTCTTTGCTTGTTCAGGGACCATAAACACACTTCGTTTTAATTCAGGCGGTCAAGTATATAGTTTGTTAGATATTTTAACCAAAAGGAACCACACCAGAGAAGATTGGTAAATTTGATACGCTGCAGCCGAAAATAAGAGTCTGATCGGAACCTCGCCTCCCTTACTGACTTTCTTCCCCCACCACAGCAGTTTTATTTAGAGAGAGGAAAAAATGAACAAAGAGCTATTCATCATAGCCTACGCTAGCCAATAACAGCGTTGCTTCTAGGCTAAGGGGGGACATTCCAAAAACAACGTCTCCTTTTATGGAGTTGGCTGCTAGCAGCCAAAAACTGCTAAATCACTCAGCCTGCTAGCAGCCAAGAACTGCTGAGTCATAGCCTAGTGAACTAGACCAGATTCTTGCTTTGCAAAGTTTGGTCTAGGCACCCTCCATTGGAACCTCCGCAGCTCCTACCAGGACTCTGGCTAGCCAATCACAACCCTCTAGAGGGGTTTCAAACACATAAAGAGCTGTGATTGGTCCATAATGGTGGGCCAATCATAGTGCTCTATCTGCTTAGTGAACAAATCACAGAGCTTTATCCGCTTTGTGGGCCAATCAGGGCACTCTATATGCCTGGTGGGTGGGATGATGCAACAGAGTGAAACAAGAGTATGTCACATTCATTGTCCAGTAGTATGCAGAGATCATTTGAAAGACAACGGTAGGACCCGCCCCACAACCGAGAGCCGTCAATGGAGCATTGCCAGACTAAATAATTCATTTATTTAGTCTGGCTTGCCAGGCTAGCTGAGTCACTCAGGAACTAGGTCTGTTTCTGTTGCTGGGCAGATCAACATCCCCACAGAGACGCAGCATATCACAGCGGAACAGAACACTTAGACTTACATTTAGGGCATAAACACTTAGAACATTTAAGAAAAGTGAAATATAAAAACCCAACATAGTTTAAAAACAAAATTATTTATAATACATGACAAGCTATGAATATCGATATGTGATGATGTATATGCAGTGATGTAATGTGAGTTGTAGGTGGTGTGGTGTGAAGGAGATGTGTATCAGAACCTTTGTATCTGAAAGAAATTGTGAATTCTGGGTGTAAAAGAATTTTGTTGTCTGCTATACACTAGAGAGTCGATTATTAATAAAACATCAGACGCAATCTGTTGTGTCTACAAATCCTGGCGGAGACCTCCGTCAGATCCGGAATGTCAGGAAGTTGGGAGACCTCAAGGCACCGAAGTTTGTAGAATAACCGCAGCGCAACCAGTTCCAGTCTTGGGTTGTCTCCTTGGTCACAACAGGCATGAAGGTTTGTTGCGTCTAAGACGGGTGTCTGAGCATTGCAGTAGCTCTGAAAAGAGCTGTTGTGGCTGTAATCACTTGCAGCGTGGTGGCAAGTTTTTGACTTAAGGTCAAAGGAGGTTGTTTCAAAAAAGCCTCTTTCCCAATTTGGCCGAATCGGGGTGTCAGCTGGAAATTGAATTAATCGGAAAGTAAATCCTGTTTTATTAATCCCCATGTTATGATTTCTGGTGAATCAGAATTTGATATGTTTGTAGCTTTACCAAACATCCCTCAGAAAACCACACCATACAGATACAAGATGTTCTAATTCTGTGGATAAAGAATCTTTAACTTTATGTGAGATGACCTTAATTTGCATCTAATGAACATTGTGTATGAGTGTAGATAATGATTAACTTGTTAAATCAAACATTACTGATCAAAAGATGTAAATGGATCATTGTCAGAACAATATTCATTTCAACTTCATTGATTTAGGCACAGATTATTCAAACATTTCATTTAACATCTAGTTCATTCAACCATATGATTATTTAAACATATGAGCTGTAAATGTTCACTTTTTATTCAGAGGGAGGAGTCCTGCAGTTGCGATAAGAGGAAAGGCTCAAAGACCTTGGGAGAGAGCATGTTTGTTGACTATCTTGTTATCTTGTCTAAAAAGCAATGCAGAATCTTCTGGGCTTTAGAAGATGGAATAGAAAATCCACCTAGTTAGTAGACTTGTTCCTGTAGATGAAATAGGTCAATATAGGTGAAAATTGACCCTTTATGGACATTACATTCATACAAAATTTACTGCTAAATAAACCACAATCAACAAGTAATTTCACGAGCCACGTTTCATAAGACAGTTTTCACATGGCCCACCTCCCGGGACGCCTTTCTGTCCTTTTTCTCTGCACCCAGAGCCTTTCAGCTTCGATATCAGTTTCTGGACTGGACCATCGTGGGAGGAGAAGAAGTTCTACGCAGCGATCCGAGAGGCCAGCTTAGGGACGGTGGAGCAGGTTCAACTCTGACACGTTCTCACATCCTGACCTGAGCCAGACCAGTTACTGTTACAGACTCACCTACCACTCACACACACACACACACTGTCACACACACAAGCTCTGACGTTCCACAAACACCTGGAGCTTCTATACCATCAGGTAGCACGTTGCAGAACGTCCTCGTCCTCGGAATGTTTGTGGCTGAAACGAATCATGATCAGAATGAAACTAATCAAATATTTGATTATCAAATATCAAGTAGTTGAAATTATCTGTGAAACATCAATAATCCTGTATGTGTCTGAGTTTAATCTTATAAACTTATTAACAATTAATCTTTTGTTAATAGACCATAACATAAAAGTCACACTCAGTAGTTTAAAAACATACTGACACAGGTGAGTATTTTATAATAAACACCTGTTTTAAAGCTGACGGTCCTGGTATTAAAGAGCTGTTTAGCAGCAGAGCTGCATTACTGCCATCTTCTGGAGTTTTGAGAGCATCCAGTCCAATAACTTTAAAAATAACCTCTGAAATTCAGAAATAAAACTCTAAACAAAATGCACAAAAATAAGCATTAACAAATAGAAATACTTTTGTATACATGTTTCTGTCTAAATTTATTTTTAATTGATTTATTTGTAATCAGCATTTGATTGAAGGGATTTATACGTAATTTTTCAGATCAACTGGGTAGAAACCATATGTCGATGGTCAGGGGGGTTGCCAGAGATTTTGGGCCCCATGAAAAAATATCAAGTTGGGCCCCCTGGGGGCTTGTCCATAGCTGGAGTTGGGGTTCCACCCTCCCAGATTCGAAGGGAGAAAAATATATAATATATATACTTTATATTAGTGTTTCAGTTTAGCTTAATTATGTAGGTCTACATGCATTCTTACTTATTTACATATCATTTTCACCAACTGTCTCTCATTAAACAGTGATTTTCATTCAACAGAATTAGCAATATCACTGCTGGAAGAAGAAGGAAATGCACATGCTGAAAGGTGTTAATCTCCTTTTCCTTATTACTCCCTTAAAATGTGTTTATTTATTCTAAAATTTTATTTGATTATAAAATTCAAATTTGGATATCTTATTAAATTTCCATGTTGTGTCAAAGCTTTACTTAACTACATTTTCAGCTGTTTTTCCTCTTGAAATCAAGTATTTCTGTATGACTGACAAAAATTAAGGATTCACTGCTCATAAGGGGACTTCTTTATTAAGTCTCCATGGCTTCATCATAGACACAAAATGAACTAGAACTGCAAGCAGTTATCAACGGGTTCCAAGCCCCCAGCGCCAGTCGCCCACCCGCCCCGCCCTCAACTTCGCCAGTCCTCACGCGGTCCCGCCCCAAATACACGTTCTCCCGCCGGCGTCCCGTCAGCTCACTTCAACCGGCGCAATGAAAGTAACACTCAGGATACGTCATTAAACCTGCAAAGCCTTTACACATATCTTTCAGAGGCATGGCTGACTTCTCAATGGTGATTACAATGGAATTCCACTGTTTCCTTATAAAAGAACGTGAAGATTTAATGAGTGAGATTATCAAACAATAATCTATACATCAACAGAATATTACAAATAACATAAATACTTGATAATGTCTTTAGATTTAAAAGATTTTCAACAAAAACTACGAGTTTCATTTTGTGACTTACTGACCAAATGTTTTAAAAAATCATGAAAAATACATAAATCATCCTAAAATTACCAAAATATTCTCACATGGCAGTGTTAACATGCGGAATAACACGGTGTTGTTTTTAAA